ATCCTGGTTTCCAAAGGTAGTGCTAATTAAATGATTATTTACTACTCAGTGCTGTGCGAATGAGCCAGAAGATGCACCTAAAATAAAGGCATATAGTCCACATTCCCAAAATATGTTAAAATAAGGAATCATACATTTGGCCTGATATGCTTTCCATATTTATTTCTAGACTCCCTGGAAAAGACCCTGATGTTGGGAAAGATTGAGGGCACAAGGAGAAGGGGGCGACAGAGGACGCGATGGTTGGACAGTGTTCTTGAAGCTACCAGCATGAGTTTGACCAAACTGCGGGAGGCAATGGAAGACAGGAGTGCCTGGCGTGCTCTGGTCCAGGGGGTCACGAAGAGTCGGACACGACTAAACGACTAAACAACCACAATTTTATTGCATTTATATCCCACCTTCCTCCCCAAGGAGCTCAAGGTGGCATACCTTGTTCTTTTCCTCCTCATTTTATCCTCAGCAACCCTGCTCTCCAACTCCTGTCGGCAGTTGTGTTGCAGCATTCTGCACTGACTGCACCCTCTGGATCAAGCACGAGGGAAGCCCCACATAGAGTGCATCGTAAGTCTCCATTGTTTAACTGCTTTACAAGTGACTAAACATCAGAAAGTGCTTTCCGACATTAAGAGCTGTTCCACAGTGGAACGGTCCCCCTTGGGAAGTTGTGGACTCTCTTCCTTGGAGCTTTTTAAGCCTCCATCTGTCATGGATCCTTTAGCTGAGATTCCTGCATTGCATGCATTTGTACTAGATTACTTCTGGGGTTCCTTGTAACTCTACAATTCTATGATTCTGTGAGCATTTAACTGATTTTATTGATAATTTTATTGTTTGGGTTTTTTTTTAATAAACTGCTTCGACGTTTTGTACGATCAAGTGGTGTATATTTTTATGTTGTTGTTGTTGTTGTTGTAGTAGTAGTAGTAGTAGTAAAAACAACAACAACAGTACTACAGCCATTTTTTTTACACTTCCGGGGTTGTTTTTTAAAACAGACCAGGGGCTGAGGAGGCAGGAGGGTTTCAGATTGCTAATCATCTGAAGAATCTTCAGTGTGTTTCTTGACAGTTATGTAATGGCTTTCAAACTATCTTTTCTCTTTCCTGCCATTTTTTGCTAAAGAGCTGCCCACGGATGGGATCACCTCCTGCATATCCTATTTATTTAAATTACTTTCCGATACGCTGTCCAAAATCAAATGGAAATACAGTGGTACTTTGGGTTACAGACGCTTCAGGTTACATACACTTCAGGTTACAAACTCTGCTAACCCAGAAATAGTAAATCGGGTTAAGAACTTTGCTTCAGGATGAGAACAGAAATCGCGTGGTGGCAGCATGGCGGCAGCAGGAGGCCCCATTAGCTAAAGTGGTACCTCAGGTATAGAACAGTTTCAGGTTAAGAACGGACCTCCGGAACGAATTAAGTTCTTAACCTGACGTACCACTGTAAATGAAGATGCACAGCAACACATGGATATGTTGCTCACACCTAATTTATCTCCCCAGTTTCATCTTCATGTGGAACAAGAGACAAGGTGTGGTTTGAAGATCTGTAGAATGAAAGAGAAAAAGTCAAAAACAAACAGAGCATCTTAAGCAAAATGAATCACTTTATTAGCTCATAACTACTGTGGCTGATATAAACAAAACTGAAGACTGAGTTCTGAAATAATTAAGTGATTGTTATGTATAAAAGCTTGTACATTCTGATTTCTACTACGTGGTTGATGTGATTGGAAATCCTACAAGCTTCTGCGAGCTGAACTTTCAAAATATAATTGAAAAATGCAAGCCAGATACTGCAGACAATCTGTCAGTGTTGGTCCTCCAAATTTCTATATTTTCCCAGTCTTAATTTATCTTCCTCACATTTCTGCTGCAATTTTCTTTTAACAAACAAACAAACAAAAAATCCTCATGAAAATCTGTCCGCATTTTAATGCAATTTCCTCCCCCAAAATGTATTTTATATACAGTTTTGAATAACATGTACAATTTCGCCAGCACTTCTCCCTAACACTTCTGCATGTTACTTATTCGGATATAAGCATGTTTATGTATATTTCCCCTTAAATCCTGCGGTTTTGTTGATATTGTTTGTGAGAGGAACTGCCCTGCAAAATTCAGAGAAGCACGAATTTTGAAGGCTAGTTGAGACATAATCCCCCCCTCCCTTTACCCCTGTATAAACCAATTGATACAAACTGCTATTTATAGAGAAAGATAGGAAGAGGCTACAGGGTCAAATTCTGTGGATGACGGCCTCACACCTGGACGATCTGAAGAGAGGGGCTCCCCCATCCCCAAACTCTTCTTTTTGTTCCTCTAGGATAATCATTTCCTCTCCCCCCCCCCCACAATTCCATGGAGAAATTCCCCTTCCAATAGGGGAAAATTGACTCCACACCCGGACTCCACACTGAATTTGGGGCTTTGTAAATACGATGCAAAGTGAGACCAAGGCATAGTCGGAGGTACCCGTTTCTGGGATGACTGCGTGTAACAGCAATTGCTGCTTCCGCTATAACAGGAGAGGATGCTGTAGGTGAAAAATGAATGTGGGTTCCTTTAAAGCTAATCATTCCACAAAAACCCAGCTTTTGTAAAACAGCGATTAGTTTAGAACAACCTGCCCCATTGCCAGTGGTGTCTGTTTCCATGGCAGCAAGAGCCTCAGCTGGCAGCCTAGTTATCAGAGGAACTCTAATAAATTTCAGAAGCAGACTTCTGGAAATTACTTTTCTTTGCCTCTTCTCTCCTTTCCCCCCCTCCTTTTTCTTTTTCTTCTCCTTTTTGCTCTTTGGCTGTTGCTGTTTCCAGATCCACTTTTGCTAGCGAAAAATCCAAAGATCTCTTAAAGTCCACGGCAGGTTGAGATTTTTCTGTTCTCTTTTTTTAAAGTAGTTTCCCCTAGGTATCTTTTAGGAGATCATCTCATTGATCATAGCAGATTAAGGAGAGACAGAAGATGAGTTCTTCCTCAGGCAGTCAGCCCATGTCGGGGTGATGGCCCTTGAGACTGCAGGAGTCATGTCACTGAAAGGCTGCCACTCAAAATATGAAAAAAAGCAAAAGCAAACCCTTGCACATAGAAAACTTAGATATCTGGACGTGCCCAAAGATTAAGACATTCTGGGAGATGATCTATAATGAAATGAAAAAGGTATTTAAATATACCTTTCTGAAGAAACCAGAGGCCTTTCTCCTGGGCATGGTTGGCCAATTGGTGTCAAAGAAGGATAGAACTTTTTTAATGTATGCAACAACAGCAGCAAGAATACTCATCGCGAAGTATTGGAAGACACAAGATTTACCCACCCGGGAAGAATGGCAGATGAAGTTGATGGACTATATGGAATTGGCGGAAATGACTGGCAGAATCTGAGACCAGGGAGAAGAGTCGGTGGAAGAAGACTGGGAAAAGTTTAAAGACTATTTACAGAAATACTGTAAAATTAATGAATGTTAGAAAAATGTTGGAATGAAGTTATATGGCTTTAGTAGAAATGTTACAAGGAATTAAGTATAAATAGATTAATAGAGTATTAAAGGGAAAAATAAGGTTAGAATCTGTTAAGATAATTAAAAGATAGAAAGCAGAGGAAGATGGAAAGGAATTGCTGAAACAATTAACAGAAGTGGAATACAAAAAGGGAGGTGTGAGGAGGTCACTGAATTAAGTGAATGAAAGATAAGATATGGAAATTGTTTGAGGTCTTTCAAACTGTTTTTGTTTTGTTCTGTTAGTTTAGTGTGTTGTGTAGTGTTTTTGTATTGTGTTGTGTTGTTCTTTTTTCTTTTTATTTTTGTGTGTGTTTGAGTTGTTGGAAAAGTAATAAATATTATTTAAAAAAAATATAGAAAACTTAGATATCATAAAGAGCTTTCTCCCTGTCATCCTAGTTATCTATGCACACAGACTATCCCCCCCATGTAAGATAAATAATCAGGTAGTCCCCACAGAGAAGCACGGAATCAAAGAGCTGTAAGGTACCACATCAAGTACCACATCAAGCTGTGAGTTCAGCCCCTGCTAATAGAAAATCCAGTCCTAGCACCACTGATAGCTCCTGCATAAAGACCTCTACCAAATGAGAGCCTATCAGCTTCCAGGCACCCTGTCCCATTGCCAATTCAGGCCATCAGGAAGCTCTTCCTAATCTTAACTATAAATCTCTCTCCTCCCAATGCCATTTGAACCTGTTGGTTCTGATCCTACCCCCCTGGAGATGCAGAAACCAATCTGCTCCATCATCTATGTGACAGCCCTTTCAGATATTTGATATAATGTCATCTCTTGCTCATCTCTTCTGCAGGCTAAATATATACAGTCCTTTGAGCCTTCCATGGTCTCCAGATACCTTTGTTGGCTTCCTCTGGAGATGTTCACCTGTAGTCTGAAATGGAACGAAGCTGGATGGAAAAGGCCAGAAAAAGGCCACCAAAATGATCAATGCCCCTTGTGACAGAGCATGGTTAAATTGTGGAATCTGTTCCCATGAAAGGTAGTCTTCAGGGTGGAGATTGCCAGGGTGGAGATGGCCTAAATGTATATCTTTGGTGAACTAGTTTTGAAAGTGCCAGCTGTTAAGGTTTGTTGTAAGTTCAATGCATTTTGGAACTGAAGTTCATTATTCTGAAGCAGCTCACACAAATGTTGTTTGCAGATGTCTGGACATATATAGAGGAGACATCTGCAAATAAAACATATCCATGCATGGGGACAGGGACACCCACCTATTCTCTACCCCCAATGTCCCAGTGTATGCCACCCCATCTGCTGTGTCCTTGTCCTTCTCTGTTTTAAGCAAGGAAGACCTGCAAGGGGGCTTTTACTCATGTTTGGTTCAATATGAGTAGAAGTCATCATGCAATCAGTGACTGTGTGTTGGAATTCTTTCCCCCATGCTGCAGATATGTGGGATTGTTTCATCATATGTCTGTGTGTTTACATTCCCCAGTGTTGGATGTCATGGGAACGGAAGTTCAGATACGCTGTTTCCGGGATATTGCTTTTGCTTTTCTCTTCTCTTGCTGATGAAGAAAGTAAGAGGAGCCATGTTCTCTTTTGTCCTGTAAATAATAAGCATAGTGCTTCGTATGCCTCAAGACTCACTTTCACTGCCTGCTGATATCTGCTGATACTGTGTGCAGATGTTTACAGATATCTGTCACACCGGTGGCTCGGGAGGAACATTAATCATCTGAGTGGCACTTCAAAGGGAGTAACACACCAGCCGTGGTGTTGATTTCCCAGTATCTGGTTATGGGCCCAGAGCAGCGAGGCTTTTGATCCGGCCGGAGCTGTTTGCAGAGACTATGCTGGACTCTAATAAGGTATGTTGGATCGATGCCCAGACGTGGGGGCAAAAGGCTTTTCTGAGGTCTGGAAGCTGAACCGGGAAGCTGGCAGCAGCGTACACAGCTTAAATTAATGACTGCTTGCAAGTTCCCAGCAGCAGTTAAGAGCTGGGATGGATCACCCAGTGCAGGAAGGGGTTCATTTCCCCAAGCTGACGCAGGGAAATTGTCAGATCTGGTCAGTCTATGCGGAGGCATTTTTAAGGAAGGAGGGGGTTTGGAATACAGTTGATGAGCAGCAGACTCTTCAGCCACTTGGAAGAGGGCAGAATCAAAGGCAAGAGGCTTGTTAACCCTTGCAGTATCACCTGAAGAATTAATTCTTCGAAGGTAGTAACACACCAGCCATGGTGTTGATTTTCCAAAACTGAGGTGATGTGTTTTTGGGGGGAACACAACACTGCTGGCCCATCTATGTTAAAGACTCAGATGTTCTTGATACTTTAGGGCAGAAAGAGCTCGGTTGAACTGTTTTGCCAGAAGTGGCACTGTTTTGACTGACAAAGTGGGAGGCGTCTCTTCTAGGGTGGATCAGTGAACCCATGAATCACATAAGGGGGCCAGGGGAACAGCTGGACCACTAACAACCTCCTTCTCCTTGCATAACCACCCTCCTCCTCATATCAAACAGTGGTCTGTCATGACTCAGAAAGTGATGTTCACTGCTGCCTTCACTTTCTGGCGGAAAAGACAGCTGACGTGAACAATACATCTCTCTCTAAAAAAGAGAGAATGGGGATAGGCCATAGCTCAATCACAGAGCATCTGCTTTGCATGCAGAAGGTCCAAGGTTCATTTGCCAGCATCTCAGTTGGGAATGTTCTCTGCATGAACCCTGGAAAGCTGTTGCAAGTCTGTGCATGCAGTACTGAGCTAGAATGGATCTTCTTATTTTGCTAGAATGAGAGTATGAACCCATTTTGACATCCTCCTCCTCCTCCTCCTCCTCCAGAGGCCCTTTTCAACCCTTGGGTAATACTGATCACTACAGTTTTGATTAAGTACAGAAAACAATGAATTTCCTTGCCCAAGCCACTACAAGATATCTTCCAGTCTTCTGAATACCGAGATTCCTTGCTTGCACCATAGGTAGACCTTTTGCTAGGCTCAACTTGCTCACTTTTCAAGAAGTCAAATAAGTGTCCAGTGGATCTCCTCAAAAGTCCATCTCATTCACCAAACACTTAATAAAACACCCAGCTAGATTATTCCCCTTTAACACACCACTGTAATTCATTTTAGAGAAATAATGTTATCAGATTGAGACATTAAAAAACAATAAAACTCCAGAAAGGTTATTTTCTCCAGTTAATAAGCAGAGCACAATTCACTAAACTTGGGCAGAATACGCTGGGAGTTTAATAAACTAAACAGGCAGTGCTTGGTCTATTAATTTCTAGACTAGCATTGAAATTCAGGCACTTGGCCAATTCTCCTCACCCCTCCTTCCCCACTTCTTGGAAATATTTTAGATAGCTCTTCATGAAGCTTAACTCTGATGCTGTTGCCATTTCACTGTTTAGCGGAAACCTTGTTTATTCAGCTTAGTATAAACTGCTGCCATACCCGTGACCAGCAGAATCTGAGAACCAGGGGAATGAAAGCATATTTCGTGGTTAAGGTTCATACTGTGCAAGGAGGCAATTTCATCTTCCGTTCCTTCTTCTCACCACCCTTGTCTGGGCTGGAGCGAGTGGTGGGTGAACAAGCAAACAGGTTGCAAGGGTGAAGAGCAAAAGCAGGTACAAAGGGCTGTTGTTAGTGGGCCCCTCGGTGGGGTGTGGATCCTCAACAGATGCCCAAATGTGCCAACCTTTGATGCCAGCTAGTCTAACTTGAATCAAGCAAGCTTACTCTGACCTTGGTCTGATCCATGCTCCTTATGGTGAGGACCACTGGTCTACATTTATGCCAAATTGCCAGGTATTTACTGAAAATAATGACATGTCCCTTGACCCCTTCAGTTTTACGATCCTCCATGCCCCAATGTGACTAAGGCAACCAATTAAAAATAATTGGGAGTCACTCCCTACTAGTGAGACCAGACTATTAGAATATGCAATGATGTGTCCCTCGCCTTCAAAAATCAACAAGTTGCGCATTAGAAGAGACTGCGGTAATTGCCGGCTGCAACAGTGATATCAAGATTTGACAGTGGTTTATAGCCTACGTCAACGTGAGCAAAAGTATGAAGCACTGCTCTAATTGCTTTGGGTTATAATTAGTATTGTCCCCTTCTCTTCAGTGACTAATGCAATGGGTGATCAGCCAGCTTGCCATGTTTATACCCCATCAGTAATGAATGTTTAAGTGTCAGTTTCATTGGAGAGGGACTGTTAAAGTTTATTGGCATTGCACATGCTCTTTAGTGAGAAACAGTGGACTTAGATATGAGGACTATTGCAGAGAAGATTATATGCAGAGTGGATTTTATGAGAGGATCCATACCTTGTGCCTCTCGGTCTTTATTACGCATGCCAAGAATGTGTGGGCTTTTCATGCCTAATGCACACACCCACCCAAAACAAGCATCAGGGGTGGAGAAGCAGCAATATGTCAAACTGAGAGCTCCTAAGAAGAATGCTGCTAGGTTTTGTTGTTGTTTAGTCATTTAGTCGTGTCCGACTCTTCGTGACCCCATGGACCAGAGCACGCCAGGCACTCCTGTCTTCCACTGCCTCTCGCAGTTTGGTCAAACTCTTGCTGGTAGCTCCGAGAACACTGTCCAACCATCTCGTCCTCTGTCGTCCCCTTCTCCTTGTGCCCTCCATCTTTCCCAACCTCAGGGTCTTTTCCAGGGAGTCTTCTCTTCTCATGAGGTGTCCAAAGTATTGGAGCCTCAGCTTCAGGATCTGTCCTTCCAGTCAGCACTCAGGGCTGATTTCCTTCAGAATGGATAGGTCTGATCTTCTTGCAGTTCATGGAACTCTCAAGAGTCTCCTCCAGCACCATAATTCAAAAGCATCAATTCTTCGGCGATCAGCCTTCTTTACTTTATGGTCCAGCTCTCACTTCCATACATCGCTGCTAGGTTAGACCAAAGATTTATCTGGTCCAGCATCTTGTTTCTCAGTGTCCAGTTGCCCGTGGTCCAATTAGACCAGCATCCTGTTCTCACAGCGGCCAACCAGATGCCTGTGAAGAACCCTCAAGCAGGATTTGAGCATATCAGCACTTTCTCCTCCTTCGGTTTCCAGCAATTGGCATTCAGAAGCATCTCTGCTTCTACCTGTGAAGGCAGAGAATAGGCTTCATAGCTAGTAGCCACTGATAGCCTTCATGAATTTGTCCAATCTTCTTTTAAAGTCATCCAAGTTGGTGGCCATTGTTGCCTCCTGTGCTGGCATGTTCCACGGTTTATATGTGCTGCATGAAGAAGTACAGTGGTACCTTGAGAGCCAGCATGGTGCAGTGGTTAGGAGTGGTAGACTTGTAATCTGGGGAACTGGGTTTGCTTCCCTGCTCCTCCACATGCAGCTGCTGGGTGACCTTGGGCTAGTCACACTTCTCTGAAGTCTCTCAGCCTCACTCACCTCACAGAGTGTTTGTTGTGGGTGAGGAAGGGAAAGGAGACTGTGAGCCACTTCGGGTAGTGATACGGAGGAATATCAAATCCAAACTCCTCCTCCTCTTCTTCTTCTTCTTCTTCTTCTTCTTCTTCTTCTTCTTCTTCTTCTTCCCTTCTTGGTTCTCAAACCGTAATCTGTTGCAGAAGTCCGTTTGACTTCCAAAATGTTTGGAAACCAAAGCACAGCTTCCAGTTGACGCAGGCACCCCAGAAACAATAGCCGACAGCCTCACTGGACATTCAGCTTCCAATTTTTTTTCGAAAACTTACTTCCGGGTTTTCAGTGTTCAGGAGCAGAAATGTTCGAGTACCAAGGCATTTGAGAACCAAGGTTCCACTGTATTTTCTTTGATCTGTCCCAAATCTTCCAATATTCATTGGATGTCTACTTTTAGTGATGTAAGAGAGGGACTAAAACTTCTCTCTATCTGCTTTGTCCATGCTATATTTAACTTTAGAAATGTCTATCATGTCGCTTCTCACTTTTACTCTAAACTAACAGGTCCCATTATCTTAATCAAGGAGTTATCTCATGCCCTTGATTATTTGCCTTGCCCTTTTCTGAATCTTTTCCAGCTCTACAGTATCCTTTTTTGAGGCAAAGTGAGCAGAACAGAGTATTCCAAAAGTGGCTGCACTGTAGATGTGTATAATGGCTTTTATGACATTGGCGGTATTGTTTTCAATTCCTTTCCTAATGATCCCTGGCATGAAATTTGCCTTTTTCACAGCTGCCGCACACTGGGTTGACATCTTCAGGAACTCCAGAAGCAGGACATGAAAGGCAATAGCCATCTCCTGCTTTTGTTGCTCAGCAACTGGTATTCAGAGATATGCTGCCTCTGATCCTGGAGCTCATAGACAGCCATCATGAATAGAAGCCATGAATAGATTTATCCTCCACTCATTTGTCTAATCCCTCTTTTAGGCAATCTAAGTTAGTGACCATTGCCATGTCTTGTGCAAATGAGTCCCTTAGGTTAATGATGAATGTGTGAAGAAGCACTATTCAGTCTATCCTGAATCTCCATTTGGCTTGGTTGGTGACCCCTGTTTCTAATATTATGATAAGAGGAAGAAAAATCTCTTCCTTCCTACTTTCTCTCCACCATGCATAGTGTTACAATGTGCACCACATCTCTCTTCCATGCTGGTGACAGGAAAACAGCAGCCTCTCTGGAATCTATTGTTCTGGAGCAACTGTTTCAAAGTACTTTGTGCGGAAACTGAATGCAGATTTATTCAGGCCAGAATTGGCACTCTGGACATTGCGCTATAATTTCTTTCCCCCTTCCAGAGTGCTGCTGCAGCAAAAAGGAGCCCGAATCAATGGATTTGCTATTACATTTCATGCTCAACTGATCTAGTTTCAAGCTTGGTGACACCGGCACAGAACTTGCAAATAAATATTAATTTGACACCTGATTGTAGTTATGATCTATCATTATTTGTGACTAATGTACTTTGTCTCTGCATCTTGTGTACTTAGTGAATTGCAATGCTGCGCACAAATTGATGCAATCTCTACTTATGCTCTAGCTGGGAAAATCTATTTTGCCTTTAAATCACATTGTATTGACTTTACTTTTGATACGCTCCATATTTCTCTCTTTTAATGCACTGCCTGTCTCTCCCGTGGAAATGTTGTGTTCATGTCTCTCGGTGCATAGCAGAAGCCAGTTAAAAGTTTGGACTCTAAAAGGAACCAGTGCCTAACACAGCCAGTCTGGCATGCATGCAGTAGGGACCCTAGAGAAGGGGTGCAAATTGCAGAAATTGAATTATGTGCATTCTCTGGAATAAGTCCAAGTTGGACATGACTCCCCTAATTAGACATATAGCTGGGGGAGAAGAGTTTGGATTTGATATCCCGCTTTATCACTTCCGTAAGGAGTCTCAAAGCGGCTAACATTCTCCTTTTCCCTCCTCCCCCACAACAAACACTCTGTGAGGTGAGTGGGGCTGAGAGACTTCAGAGAAGTGTGACTAGCCCAAGGTCACCCAGCAGCTGCATGTGGAGGTGCGGGGAATCGAACCTAGTTCACCGGATTACAAGTCCACTGCTCTTATCCACTACACCACACTGGCTCTCAGGGATGGAGAAATGAGACCTTGGCTTTTCTTCCGCTCTCTTTTCCGAGTTTGAGGGTGCCTTCCTCACAAGATAGCTCCCTTTGCTCACAGCTATTGATTGGAGGGCGTGATTGGATGTGTTTGTGTGCCATGCAATAGACTTTCCTAACGGAAAGCCACTTGCAGAGCATGTTCTGCACTTTGCCGGATTGTCACCTCCACCCAATTTTTTTTTTTTTAGGCATCAGGCAGGCAGGTTTTCCCACCCTGGCTGTCTCTCTTTCCTTCCTGATGCCTTGCCCCACCAGACTGCCATAGATTGCTCTGGGCCATCTAAGTAAACCCATAGCAATCTATGACTATCAGAACCTGACTCATCTGATGACCAAGTGCCTCCAAATAAGCTCAATTTGGCCCAGGATTCGACCAAATCCGATACACAGCCCTAAAAGTCACCATCTTAGAGGGAAAACAAATTCTGGGTTCAGGACCATGGACAGTTCTTACAGCTGAGACTTGCCCTGTCAGCAAAGGCTGAGTTTTATAGCAGTCAGGAAGTCATGGACAGGAGGCTCCACCATCTGAGTGCTGCCTCCTGGCCAGTTAAAGGACTAGTGCTCCCCCCCCCCCGTGGCCATTGGCTCCTCATAGCTCTCTTGATCCCCCATGGAGTTTGTGGACTACCCATCAGAGTAGGAGATCAGAGTTGTCTCCTTGGGGTTCAAGGTAACAAAGGCAGGTTCCTTTGCCTCAAAACCTAGACAGGGCAGACCAGAGCTTGGATCCATTTCCTTATCTATCTATCTATCTATCTATCTATCTATCTATCTATCATCTATCATCTATCTATCAATCATCTATTTATCAGCTTTCATCTTTCTGTCTATCTATCATCTAACTATCATCTACATACCTATATTAAAGGGTTTGGTTTGTTACAAAAGTAGGTGCATTGTCTCTTTTTGGCCTCTGTGGAGTCCTAGTGGGAATCTGGGATTCCAGCCTGGGAATCTGTGGTTGCATTCTAAATTCTTTCTGGATCACAGCTCTGATTACTCTCTCTGTGTATGTTTGGATTGATATCATTATTTTAAAAGTGACCATTGCAAAGAGTCAAAGGTCCTAAGCAGAGAAGAAGAAGAAGAAGAAGAAGAAGAAGAAGAAGAAGAAGAAGAAGAAGAAGAAGAAGAAGAAGAAGAAGACAATCTCTCTTCTGTGTGTATGTTTTCAGAGAAATGGTTGAATGATTTGTGAATTATCTGGCTATGCAGCGCTGAAGGAAGATTCATTGTGCATACCATTCCACATTGTGACTCAAAGGTTTCCACTAAATTAAGGTATAATGCACAAAACACTGAAGAGTAAAATATATCTCATTTCATTTCATTGTATCAAATCATAGGTTTCTACGGGGCTGGAGTATATTCTGTTATCTTGTTTAGAGCGAAATGAATGTGTGGGTGTGTTTAAAAGTGCAAGTCGCTTTTGCAGGATTATAAACTTTCATAAGGGTAATGAATGGTGGCTGGAGAGAAAAATAGCATTTTACAGATGGGGAACAGTGCAGCAGAAGCAATTTGGGCAAATGGAGCCTAGTCCCACCAACCTCAGGTAGTCCCTGCCTGCTTGCTTTCCTTAAAAGCAGTTGGGAGTGGCTCTGGATCCACCTAGAATCATAGAATCATAGAATCATAGAGTTGGAAGAGACCACAAGGGCCATCGAGTCCAACCCCCTGCCAAGCAGGAAACACCATCAGAGCACTCCTGACTTATGGTTGTCAAGCCTCTGCTTAAAGACCTCCAAAGAAGGAGACTCCACCACACTCCTTGGCAGCAAATTCCACTGTCGAACAGATCTTACTGTCAGGAAGTTCTTCCTAATGTTTAGGTGGAATCTTCTTTCTTGTAGTTTGGATCCATTGCTCCGTGTCCGCTTCTCTGGAGCAGCAGAAAACAACCTTTCTCCCTCCTCTATGTGACATCCTTTTATATATTTGAACATGGCTGTCATATCACCCCTTAACCTCCTCTTCTCCAGGCTAAACATGCCCAGCTCCCTTAGCCGTTCCTCATAAGGCATCGTTTCCAGGCCTTTGACTATTCTGGTTGCCCTCCTCTGGACACGTTCCAGTTTGTCAGTGTCCTTCTTGAACTGTGGTGCCCAGAACTGGTACCTACCATTGGCCTCTGTGCCTTCTGTTCTAACTGTCCCATTGGACACCACCCACTACTGGAAATGTGAGTGTATGAGATAGAGAGAGTGTGTGTGAATGTGTGTGTGAGAGAGGGAACAGGAGAAAGGGAAGCAGGGGTCATTGATGGAGTTGGGTGTTGGAAGGTCTCATACCACAACTTCCTGAAGTTAAACTTTGACCAATCACCTCCTGACCAGCTGGCCATTTGTCTTCCATGCAAACTTAGAAAAGCAAGCTTCCTTCTTCAACAATACAGATGGTCATTTACCCTCGCTAGATTCAACATGCTGCCATCTGCCTTATTGCATGGCAGATCTGAGGGTAAACCATACATGGAACAAGTCTGCCCCTGCGGCTTGATGGAGGTAGAAATTGTCTCTCATGCCTTGTTACGCTGCTGTTTCTACAGGGATATACGCTGGTATTTATCACCCCTGCTACCTGTATGCAAAAATCTCCAAATGAATCCGAACTTCAATGTCTAAAATCCCTGGTAGAGGACAAGGATCCTGAGATCACGTTAAGGGTAGCCAAATTCTGTGTGATTGCCATAAAACTTAGGGAAGAAGCTGTGCTATCATAATGATTAAGGTTTTAAATGATAATTTTAGGTTATTTGTTAGTGGCTAAGTTTTGATTTATATATATTTTTAACTGTTGCTATATCTGTATTGTCCCTGTTATACCTAATTGCAAATTCAAATGTATCCCTATAGTGTTTTATGACTTCCTTGATATTGTATGTGGGCTGCAACTGGTCTGTGACAGAAATAATAAATTCATTCATTCCTTCTTCAAGGTTGCCATCTATTCTGCAGTGCCACCCCATCTGAACATTAAGTCACCTAACTCCAGGCCAATCCCCACCCACCATGCTTTATGGTACAAAACCCTTAAATTTAGACCAGAAGTGGACACTTTTCTTTCAGCCCAAAAGCTGCATTACCTTCTCAGCAATCTGCGTGTGTGTGTATACATGCCAGTGGTAGGTGGGGCCCCAATGAAAAGTGATGGGATCAACAAACACACATTTTACCTTCGTGCATCAGGCTAGTTTCTACACACCCTCACCCAAGACACTATGAGAGTTTAAGGATGCGTCCCAGCCAGGCAAACAACACTCAAGGGGGGTGTGACACTGAGGTCCAGCACTGAGGGCCTTCTGGCGGTTCCCTCACTGCGAGAAGCCAAGTTACAGGGAACCAGGCAGAGGGCCTTCTCGGTAGTGGCGCCTTCCCTGTGGAACACCCTCCCACCAGATGTCAAAGAGAACAACAACTACCAGGCTTTTAGAAGACATCTGAAGGCAGCCCTGTTTCGGGAAGCTTTTAATGTTTGATGTATTATAGTATTTTGGTATTCTTTTGGAAGCCGCCCAGAGTGGCCGGGGAAGCCCAGCCAGATGGGCGGGGTATAAATAATAAATTATTATTATTATATTATTATTATTATTATTATAAGAGCAGTGAGTGGTGTGGCTGGGAGGGGATATGGCTAAGGAAAAGTCCCAAGGATCAATCAGAGAGACCCGAGGGCCACATTTGGCGATACAGTGGTACCTCGGGTTAAGTACTTAATTCGTTCTGGAGGTCTGTTCTTAACCTGAAACTGTTCTTAACCTGAAGCACCACTTTAGCTAATGGGGCCTCCTGCTGCCGCCATGCCGCTGGAGCACGATTTCTGTTCTCATCCTGAAGCAAAGTTCTTAACCTGAGGTAATATTTCTTGGTTAGCGGAGTATGTAACCTGTAGCGTATGTAACCCGAGGTACCACTGTATCTTTACTGGTGGCTGAACCCATAGAGAACAGAAAGATGGACAGACAGAAAGTCAGACAAACCACTTTCCAAAATATATACTTTTTTGCACATTTTTACCTCAGTATATATGCAGTTTTCTACACATTGGCTGGAGAGTTGCATCTCAAAATTCAGAGCAGAGTGAATTTTGGTTTCGGTTCCTGAATGGTTTTGGAAAGTGCGAATTAGTAGATTTGCCTTTAAATGTGAACTGAATTTAATTTCTCTCCACCCCAGCTACCTTCTCTCCCTGGCAAAACAGGGGTATTTTTTGGTTGTGTATGTTATGATCTCTGTGTTGTAGAGGATTAGATTTTGTGAAGCTAAAATGCTACTGAGCTCCTTGCATCAAGTGCATCCAAATGTAACCAATAACTATGCAAATTATGTTTACTTTATGTTATTAAGTATGCAAATTTGGCATTTCGCTGAAACTCATGATGCTACCTTTCCAGCGGGGTCCTCACCAATGGAAAATTTAGTCATTCCTATATTAAACCATTAGGTTCTTCCCCTTCTGATTTCTTCCTATATGGCCTTCTGTGGTGGACCAGGCCTGTGAATGACTCCAAGTGAAATGCAAGGCATCTGTGAACTTCAGCCTTGATCACTGATGGATAAGATTGAGCCTGGCAGGGAGAGATGTATATAATTGTACAACTGGGTGTGATTAATCTACCCTAATAATAACAGAGATTTATACTAGTCCCTGTGCAGTAATCTGTACAGAGTTAGCCAGATAACACCCTCTCCCATGAATAATTCAAGGAAATGAATTAGATTATTCCAGATCTCCTATGGGTAATATTTACATATTGGCTTAATATTGCTAAACACTCATCTTCACAAGCAGACAGCTTATCCAAGATAAAAGCAAACATGATGTATAGTTTGTGATCAATCAATCACAAAGTGATGGGTTTCCCCCACCCAGTGTCAATTCTTCTCATTTTCCCATCTTACTTTCTGAAATGACGTCAACACTCTCATTACCCAGTCTCACATTTTCCGTTTGAGGACAAAAGACACTCTGCAAGGCATGGGATGGCAAACCACATACAGTGGTACCTCGGGTTAAGTACTTAATTCATTCCGGAGGTCTGTTCTTAACCTGAAACTGTTCTTAACCTGAAGCACCACTTTAGCTAATGGGGCCTCCTGCTGCCACCACGCCGCCGGAGCACAATTTCTGTTCTCATCCTGAAGCAAAGTTCTTAACCTGAAGCACTATTTCTGGCTTAGTGGAGTCTGTAACCTGAAGCGTCTGTAACCTGAAGCATATGTAACCCGAGGTACTACTGTACATTTCTTTGATTTCTAATGCTATGGCAAAAAGACGGCCCAGATGTTTACAATGTTAGGTCGAGAATGATTTCCTCTCCATCTTATCCCTTTCCGTTTTCATAGGAACTCAAAACCCTCAACATGCTTTTACCTGCAATCCAGTGCCATCTGGCCTTTTGCCACACATTCTCTGTTCTCTCACAACCTCCCTTTTTATTTCATGCAGCGAAACAGGAAGGATGGAATTGCACCTTTATGGATCGATCCACATAAATTCTCAGTGTCCTCCTGGGCAGGACCACCCATTATCAGGTACGCAGGCCTGCTAGTGGAAAACAATGGCCCCATGTTGAGTGCTGTCATCTCATTCTATAATGTGCGCTTCAGGGGACTTGAGTTCTCATACCACGTGTTTCCCTGCTCCCATCACTCTGTGTCTCTGGCTTCTGCTGGCAGGAACGAGGAAATGCTCTGTGCAACAATGACCTGGCATGAGTTAAGCTGAACTATTAAGAAGAAGGTGGGTGTCAGGAGCTTCTGGGTCTCAGGTTGGCTGCTCCCTTGTGACGAGCCACTGAACTGGATATTGCAGCACCTGCCTAGTCAGCTTGATTTATTTTAAGCATTTTTTGTTTACTCTACACTTCAGCCAAGAAGACTCCCAGAATAGCTTGCAAAGATCTGTAACAAGATAGTCCTTTCCTTCAGGCTTACTCTCAGGTCCTGGACTTGCCTGCTTTCCCAGGGGTGTGACTAGGCCCTCCTGGACAGGAAACAGCTACCTTTGAAGGTGATTAACCACAATTAATCCAGAATGCGGCAGCTAAACTGGTGACTGGGAGTGGCTGCCGAGACCATATAACACCGGTCCTGAAAAACCGACATTGGTTCCCAGTATGTTTCCGAGCACAATTCAAAGTGTTGGTGCTGACCTTGAAAGCCCTAAACGGCCTCGGTCCAGTATATCTGAAGGAGCATCTCCATCCCCATCATTCTGCCCAGACACTGAGATCCATCTCCGAGGGCCTTCTGGTGGTTCCCTCACTGCGAGAAGCCAAGTTACAGGGAACCAGGCAAAGGGCCTTTTCGGTAGTGGCGCCCGCCCTGTGGCACACCCTCCCATTAGATGTCAAGGAAATAAACAACTTTCTGACTTTCAGAAGACATCTGAAGGCAGTCCTGATTAGGGAAGTTTTTGATGTTTGATGTTTGATTGTGTTTTTAATCTTCTGTTGGGAGCCGCCCAGAATGGCTGTGGAAACCCAGCCAGTTGGGTGGGGTATACATAATAAATGATGATATCTTCTTGACGTCTGCCATAAGAACATAAGAAATGCCTGTCAGGTGGATGAGGCAATGGATCCATCTAGTCCAGCATCCTGTTCTCCCCACGGCCAACCAGAGACCTCTTGGGAAACCTGCAAGCTGAACCTGAGTGTAATAAGACTCTCCAGCAAAATAATTCAACTGTGTTTTTTATTTTCATTCACTTTGATGGGACCTAGTAATAACGCACTTTTGCTTCATTGGCTCTTTCAATTCTCCTTCTGTCTTTACCTGCTAGCTAACCTCAAAATGCGGGTGGTGCTGTGGGTTAAACCACAGAGCCTAGGACTTGCCGATCAGAAGGTCGGTGGTTCGAATCCCCGCAATGGGGCGAGCTCCCGTTGCTCAGTCACTGCTCCTGCCCACCTAGCAGTTCGAAAGCATGTCAAAGTGCAAGTAGATAAATAGCTACCGCTCCGGCAGGAAGGTAAACGGCATTTCCGTGCGCTGCTCTGGTTCGCTAGAAGCGGCTTAGTCATGCTGGCCACATGACCCGGAAGCTGTATGCCGGCTCCCTTGGCCAGTAAAGCGAGATGAGCGCTGCAACCCCAGAGTCGGCCGCGACTGGACCTAGTGGTCAGGGGTCCCTTTACCTTTAACCCCAAGACACGGCATGCTTTGGAAGGGAGCACCAGACAGAATTTAAGAACTGAAGAGGAGCTCTGCCAGATCAGGCCAAAGATCAGGCCAGTTAGTCCTACATTCTGTTCTCACCGAGGTCAAACAGATGTCAAGGGAAGCCCCCAGGCAGGACCTGAGTGTAACAGCAGTCTCCATACTTGTGATTTGCAGCAAGTGGTGTTGAGAGAGAATATTGCTCCCCCAGAGGAGTTAGAAGTTACAGGTAGGTAGCCGTGTTGGTCTGCTGTAGTTGAAACAAAATATAAAAAATCCTTCCAGTATCACCTTAGAGACCAACTAAGTTTGTTATTGGTATGAGCTTAGAAGTTCCTCAGGAACTTAGGAGTTAGAAGTTCCTCATCATGGCTAATGGCCATTGACAGCCTTACTCTTCATGAATCACATACACACGTGCAAGAAGGCATCCCTGTTCAGGGAAGGTATCAGTGTGTGATGTTATATTGTGCTTTTACTACTTTTTGTTGGGGCAACCCAGTCAGACGGGCAACATATAAAGAATAATAAATGATGATAATGATGAGGAATTGTTACCTACTGATCTGAAGCCCTTGCCCTTCTCTCCCCTCCATGTTACACCTAGTAAGTCCCATGAGTATAGTCTAGGGCAGTGTTTCTCAACCTTGGGTCACCATCTGATGTTGGACTACAACTCCCATCATCCCTAGCTATCAGGGGTGATGGGAGTTGTACTCCAACAACATCTCAACCCAAGGTTGAGAAACACTAATCTGGGGAATATCCAAAAAGCTGTTTTATTGCTGGCACCTGCAACAAAATGTCATTGATTCACTAATAGTGCAATATTAGCAGACTGTCCACACATCATCCTGGTTTATCAGTTCTTTCATGTTTCCCAACATTCCCACACTGTAGCATTCACATTTTAACTCCACCCATTCCATTGGCCACCCCCAATCCCACCCCTCTCCCCACAGCATGTTATTTGTGCTATAATGCCATGCCACCATACTTGTACACCTTCAGCTTTTATGATTAGGCTGTGATTGCTGTGCTAAAATATTGCTCATTTTCAAGGGGTGGGTGTGGCCGTATATTATACCAACAGGAAGTATGTGGGAGTAGCTACATCACAAAGAGGGGGATACATTTTTCTAAGGTATTCTTGCACCATAGCGTATTAAATTTGGGACTAAAGAAAGAAACAACTGGTGAACTTGTAGTATAAATTGTTACAGGATTATTATTATTATTATTATTATTATTATTATTATTGCAGGAAGCTACAGGACATGCAATTGTATTGATAGCACAATCACATATAACTACCCCAAACAGAATCGTGAGCACAAATGGTGATGAATGCGCAATAAAAAAGGACATATTGGGGGCTCCCAGCGAAGACTGTGGGATTTACTTTTGAGAAAACATGCAGAAGATTGTGTTGCAAGCCACATTTGTTTCAGTGTGATTTAGGCTGCAATCCTACACTCCCATACTTGGGAGTTCTCAATAAGATTTACTTCTAAATAAACATGCAGAAAATTGGGCTGAACGGTCTACTTAAATTGCATACCTAGGAAACAGCTGCTTTTGAGACTTGGGAGCGGGCAAAGCTGAGATGTTTTTCAGCAGGAGAGAAGACAGACTGCAGTGCTCCTCCTTGGTTAATATCAAAAGCCAAAGAGTTGCATCCTATAAATAAAGGACGGCTCCTGTACCAAATGCATTTGCATGTATTAAATCAAGATGCCCTAATTAAGGTAACACATTCAGCTGAATGCATAATAGAGTAACAGCCATACATAATTTGGCTCACTCTGTGTGATAGATGGTTGGAAGAAGGCACGGCAAATGAACTTAAGACCGCATTTGAGAAAAGACTCCCATCACATCTTGAGTGACTTGATAAGAGTAGAGCAAAGAAGTTGGCCTTTATAAATATATCAATAAAACAAAAAGATGCTTGCAGGCAGTTACTGAAGCCAAAATTATGGTGCAATCATAACTTTGTTTATCCAGAATTTAATTTGATGTGCCTAGACCTTATTCAGAGTTGTTGTTGTTGTTGTTTAGTCGTTTAGTTGTGTCCGACTCTTCGTGACCCCATGGACCAGAGCATGCCAGGCACTCCTGTCTTCCACTGCTTCCCGCAGTTTGGTCGAACTCATGCTGGTAGCTTCGAGAACACTGTCCAACCATCTCGTCCTCTGTCGTCCCCTTCTCCTTGTGCCCTCCATCTTTCCCCACATCAGGGTCTTTTCCAGGGAGTCTTCTCTTCTCATGAGGTGGCCAAAGTATTGGAGCCTCAGCTTCAGGATCTGTCCTTCCAGTGAACACTCAGGGCTGATTTCCTTCAGGATGGATAGGTTTGATCTTCTTGCAATCCATGGGACTCTCAAGAGTCTCCTCCAACACCATAATTCAAAAGCATCAATTCTTCGGTGATCAGCCTTCTTTATGGTCCAGCTTTCACTTCCATACATTACTACTGGGAAAACCATAGCTTTTACTATACGGACCTTTGTTGGCAAGGTGATGTCTCTACTTTTTAAGATGCTGTCTAGGTTTGTCATTGCTTTTCTCCCAAGAAGCAGGTGTCTTTTAATTTCGTGACTGCTGTCACCATCTGCAGTGATCATGGAGCCCAAGAAAGTAAAATCTCTCACTGGCTCCATTTATTCAGAGTAGATCCACTGAAATCAATGGCCATGTTTAACTGAGTTTCATTCATTTCAGAGTCCATTGTCTTGATTAAATATTAGTTGAATGCAATCGTATGTGTGGTTGCAGTTGAAAAAGGCAATCCCAGGCAACTTCATCTCTCCTTTGATGGCATGATATTACCATAGTAGGACATTCTTTCTGAGAGTTCACGCCCTTGCAAGCTGCAGCCAATGACGTAGCATGGGGCAGAGAAGCAAGGACTGCAATGATGTCGCATATTTTGTTGGTTACCAGGGGACAGAGGAGGGGGGATGTGAAGCTGCTATTTTTGGACAGAGCCGTGTGTCTCTCCTGATGCCTAGCTTCTACCCAAAGCCTTGCTTGTCCATTATATTTCTTTTTTGTTTCCGTTTGTTTTGCACCGCAGCAGCTGTAGAGTCGCAGGAAAAATAAGATATGAGCGACAATAAATAAAAGACAATCCTACCAACGTCAACTGCTTTACATACATTCAACAGACCAGTACATGAGTTAAAGCTTTGGCTAGCTTAAATTAAAAAGGAGCAAAAACTAACAACCAACAATTAACTATTTTTTGTTTTTATTATCATTTTCAGGAATGTAAGAAACTGCCTTATACTGCATCAGATCCTTGGTTCATCTAACTCAGCATTTTCTGCACCAGAGCAGGGGAATGTTTGGCAAAATTGCAGTTTTAAATGCAGTGTAAGGTAGTCTCTATGGTAATATATTGTATTTAATAATGGGGTATCAGAGTTTTTAGGGGGTTAACCAGGCTGGGATAGCTGGGATAGCAGGCTTGTTGCTTTTTGAATGTCTGATGTAGATTTTTTTCAATTTTGTTGTTCTGTATGGGACAATGACAATAAAGATTATCCTATCATATTGTACCGTATCACTTTGGTTTTGCTGGTCTCCAATTCTCGTCAGCTCCAGTCAGCAATGCCAGTGGTCAAGGATGATGGGAACTGGTCTCCAGAAACATCTGGAGAGTCACAGGTTTCTCTGCCCTGGTCTATGTTGACTAGCAGAGGCTTTCCAGGATTCCAGACCTGACGCCTTTCCCAACTCTACCTGGAGAGATCTAGGATTGATTGAACCAGAAACCTTCTTCATGCAGAGCAGATGGTCCACCCTATGCTGTGGTTCTTCTCCAGAACACAGGAAGCTGCCTTATGCTGATTCAGATTGTTGGTCCATCTGGCTCAGCGTTTCCCAAACTTGGGCCTCCAGCTGTTTTTGGACTACAACTCCCATCATCCCTAGCTACAAGGACCAAAACCAGCAGTATGAAATAATAGGAAGACCACATATTCAGCAAGACTGCAGAAAGAAAGTGAGGAATTGTTCTCTAGTGAGAGCTGATCTCACTGGGAGGCTACCGTGGTGTCAGGATGCTGTCAGCGGCTCCCGGCTGCTTGCCCAGGAAAGTATAAAGACAAGGAAAGGTTTCTTACCATCCTCTTTTTATTCAGTTTTTACAGAGAGAAGCTATAGAACCCAGCCTCTTGGATCATGGCATTGTCCCAAGTGACTCTCCACCACCCCGTCTCTCCCACTTCCTCACTCATCGCTTCTGCAGGTGCTGCTACCTGCCCTCTGTCTTTGAGCTCTTTGCTCTCCTACTTTCAAGGCTCGCCGGGTTCTGGGAGATGGAGTGTCTGGAATGCTTTCTAAAGACACCGTGTCCATCAGCTGTCAGTCCGCTTCTGCCTCCTCCTCCTCCCTGGAAGGGTCAGGATGGGGAGGCGGTCTCCACCATTCCTCCTCTTCCCAGTCCCTGATACCTGGACAGCTCCTGTAAAACTCAAATTGGAAACTTCACGAGACCACAGCTCAGATGTTGCCTTACCATCTTCAGACTGGAAATTAAATAGGAGTTGCACCTCTGTCTCAATAGCTATCTCTGTGGATATTTCACCCCTCCCATTGCGAGAATCTCATGATGTTTTCAGAAAGGAGGGGGTGGAATCTGCTCATTGCTTCTTCCGCTCCTGCCTGACTCTGTAGGAGTCTGAGTGTTATCTGTGTAAAGATAAGATGACTGCATAAGAAACTCATGCAGTCCAGAAGCCTCCGCTAGTCTTTAGTTTGTAGTTTATTTTTAGTTTGCAGTAGCTGTAATAGAATAAAGTTAAGCTCCAGAGCTGTCGTTCGTGTAATTCATACTCTGCTGTGCTCTGCTGAGTTTGGTGCTCACAGCTCAAAGCTGTGAGTCCATTGCACTTAGACCTGCTCTCCCGCCGTGGAAGTGCTTCCCAGCTCACCTGGCCCAGCCGGGGCTGAAGAGGTTGAGCCCAGTCATTGGCACCAGCTCAAAGGCGAAGCTGACAATCTCTACCTTTGATAAGAGGAGCCTCTTTCGTTACAGATGCTCAGCCTAGGGCAGTGATGGGGAACTCGTGGCTCTCCAGATATCATAGGCCTCTGGTTCCCATCAGCCCCAACCAGCAGGGACTGTGAGTAGGGATGATGGGAGTTGTAGTCAAGCAACATCTGGAGAACCAGAGGCTCCCTATCCCTGAGCTAGGTATTCTGAGCCAGATTCCTCTGAGTCAGAGGAAGGCAATTTAACAGTATTGGGTCAAAAGGGTACTGGTATCATTGGATCTTTCTGCAAAAAAGTGTTTGCTGTTGTTTAGGTGCTTCTTAGGCTGGCCTTAGGTGCTATGCCCTCTCCCAATCTGAATCCCGGAATTCACCCCTAGGGTCATAACAAAATTACACAGCGGGGTGTAGACCACAACTCCTATCATACCTAACTATTGGCCATTCTGGCTGGTGCTGATGGGAACGGGGGTTTAAAACCCATGGGGAGCATCCAGTTGGAGGACATTGGTATAATGCAAGTGACAATGACTCATGGAGATGTTGGACAAGTGTTTCTCAAGATCAGCTATCTGAGAAGCTTTAATCTGGGCATGCCAGGGAGGAAATCTGGGCATTTTTGTGCAAATTATATGCTCGCAGTGGCCCTTCCCAGTTTGCATGGTAACATGCAGATGTGTTTAAATGCAAACAAAGCCGGCTTTAATCAATATGACAGTCGCTAATCAGCCTGAAGTTCTGCAGAGGATTGTTCCTTGGCTGGGACAACTCTGACAAAGCTTTCAGTGGGCGAAAACAGTAAACATTGAAAAGATAGCAATCACGCCATTACACAATTAGCCGTGGAGAAATCAGACCACTTTTTATGTTCTGCCAAGTTCATGACGTACAAATGTGCTCTTTGTATAGCTAATGGTTTGATGATTATGATAAGCCAAAGAGCTTGTTAGATGGGTGATGCAGCGCAACTAACCAAAATGAAAACATTTCAATTGTTTTCTTGAAGATTTACAGTGGGCCATTGAATGAGTTAAAAGGGCCCATTAAAGTGTCAGCGTTTTATATTACCGCTGATTTAATCTCGGTTTGCAATCAGACTGCAAATCATCATGTCAATTTTTTTTCCTCCCAGGGAAGACATGAATGCAATCAGAGGCAATTATTTCACTTCTGCCCTCCAGATTCTGTTTATTATTATTGCTGTAGTCAACTTGCCCTTAACAGGTTGTCCTTGCAAAGTGCACATGATGCTTGTCCTATCACTAAGCATATGACCCAAAAGGTGTAAGAAGATTGATGCTTCGACTATATTAAAAATAAATACAGAGAGTTCAGATGCAAAGCGTGAGGATAACGCCCAACAATGGCACAGACAA